TCCATTTGTGCAAAAGTGCATAAACGATAATAACTACGTAAAACTAAATACACTGCACGGATAGTAGTTTAAGCGCTTCCATCCCCGCATGGAACAACACTTTGTTGTGATCCACAAATTGTTGTATTAAATAAGTAAAGAAGGCTAATGCTATCTATCTGTCTGACTTCACGGATGGCGTGGTGGTTTAAGCGGTCACCTCGCCGCTTCCTATTGCGCTGAGTGTTGTGAATTCGATCCCCGCATGGAACAACACTTTGTGTGATCAACAAATTGTTGTTCTGAGTCTGGATGTTCCTTGTGTCCGTTTCGTGTATGTTTGTAAAGTCCCCTGCGACACAGGAATATATTCCTGATGCGGAAGTTGTCTTTTAACGTAAAAAAAAATGCGGCTAAAAACGTTGGTATCTGTTTTTTATTCTGCGGTCTAATTCCTATGTTATGCCATAATTATGACTATTTTCAAGTTAAGACAGTAAATAGCTCAAAATTCAGTTACAAAACACTTCCCACCTTCTGGTGAAAAATTGCAACAAAATTTTATTCCTTATTTTATTAAAGTAGAAACTTTTGACTTACGCAATATTAAAAATGAATATTACTCATCCTATAAATCTCCATATGCATTTCCAACGTCATCGTATAAATGTAATAAAGAAAGATTTACAACCAACCCAAAAATATTATCAGTTTAGAGCTTAAACGGCGGCCAATGAGCTCATTTGTATTATACTGTTTGCCGATGACATCAGCCGGGCATCAAACCTGCGTATTAGGCAACACTCGCCCCCACTGCGCCCACGGTCAGGAAATAACAACATAGTTGGTAGTTAAGGGCATCGGAAGGATTAGTGATTTAAATAAGGTTGAGTCACCAACATTTGGTTAAAGCTTAACTCATTAATACTATGAGTAGGTTTCGAGTAATTTCACAAGCACCGTGTGACGACATCTGGTTAATGTTATCAGAAGCTTTTTTTTAAATTCAGTGTTGGTTTGCGTAAAGGAATAAACCTATGCTGCTAATAAACGTGCTTAATTGTGTAGAAGTAAATAAAATACCTAGATGAAATCATTATATGTAGGATGTTTAGGCAAAAACTAATAATAGGATCATCCTTGTATTATATGGTAATAAATTGTACTGCATAGTAGGTTTCTAAAATAGGGAAATATAGAAAGATATTGTTTTTTTGTAAATACGTATTACAAATGTATAGAAAACCCCAGACTATTATAATACATAAAAATATTTGCTTTGCAGCAGGAAATGAAACCGCTACGACTACAGAAATATTCCATTAAAAAATACAACATATTGTTAAAAAAATTAAGTTCAAAGGGAACGGAATCGACCATTTGAATTTATTTTTAGAAGAGCAACACTCAGTTTAATTAGTGCTATGAAATTAATTTATGGTTGTCCACAGACAACGAAAACATTACAATGTCATCTAACGAAGACAACTCGTACTACGGCGTAACTAACCAATCCCGTAATACTGCTGTGATGTGATGTTGGTTTATTGGTTAGTTGCGGTGTTGCTGTTGATGTTTCAACAGACTTTCATAGTCCACTTTTTTATGGAAGAGGGGGCATACAAGCAGACGAGTCACCAGATGGAAAGTGACCACCGTCATGAAGCTGAAGCTAGCCGACGGACATAGCCTACGTAGAATATGGCACGCCCCTAAAATTGATTTTTTTAATCAACAAAGAGAGAAAAGGGTCATTTGCCAGCTTCAAATTACTATACATTAAACTAGGGCCCTTTAAGATTAAAATTTTATATTTAAATAATCATATTAAATGAATAAACGCTGTTTATTAACCAAAAAACGAGTTTTTTAAAATCGCATCCCTAAGTATCATACAATAATACCAAATTACTTTTACGTTGGCAGAAAAGTTATAATTTTTATTATTAAATGAACAGTCGGACGACTTACGATAAATCGACCGATGCGAGAAAAAACCTGCTGTAACTCACTTCACAAAAATAGGATTGCTTTCTAATTTTGTATAGTTTATCCCTAAGTGTCGTACAATACTACTAAATTAGTTTTACGTTGGCAGAAAAAATGGAATTAACAACATTTAATGAGTAAACGTACGAAACTAACAAAAAGTACTGAATTTCGATAAGAAATATTGAGGGGCGTGCCATTTACTACGTAGGCTAGCTCGTTCGGCTAGATTCACCTTCATACTACCGCCGCCCATGAACGCCTGCAACTCAGGAGTCACAAGCGCGTTGACGGCCTTTTAGGAAGGAGTAAGCTCTTTTGTTGAAGATCGTATCGGTCCGGAAATACTTCGATAATAACTTGTTCCACAGATTGGTTGTGCGCGGCAAAAAGAATCTTGAAAGCGCACATTGGTGGAGTGCCAATTATCCAAGTGATGGGGATGACCTCGCAAAACATAGACCTCTCCTAAGAAAGAAGGTTTTGGCCTACTATCCAACGCTGGCCAGACGGATTGGTATATATGGTGTCAAGCTTTCCCTCTCTTTCTTGCGATTATTATAAAACCCCAACATAAACCGAGGTGCGGGTGTCCGCTTTGTTGTGTTGAAGGAACAATAACACCCATTCCCACACAGTTTAACCTTTCTGTGATCCAACAATAATCGCTCCAAATAAGACTTATCGGTTCTTAAAGGTGTCTCGCATCGTTAACCTATTGACGACCTTATTTAACTTACGAAGACAAAGTGACCATCTATTTGAGACGCAACATGTTGTTAGTATGACATAATCGTGGATGAAAGGAACCCATTCAGTGTTGATAACCTACCAGTTCAACAAATTGTAGGTAATATCTCTTATCATCAAAATATTAATGCACTATGTGTTTATTTCATGACCTTATGACGTAAGCAAGATTGACATTATTGCTGTCAGTGTCGAAAGAGATTTGGTGATTTTAAATTCTGAGTTCTTTTAAATCTAATAGGTTTTACAAGCAGTTCTTTTACTATATGAAGGTTGCTTCTGCTAGATACTTGATTATAAATTGCTGGCTAAGAATGTACCCTACAGGAAACCTAGCCAAACACACGCTATTTACTATTAATAATTGACAGGAAGAAGTTCTTAATTCGTTTGTAATTTATTTGCAGTTTGTTACTTCGAAACTCCATCATTTGTGTATTAGTTTTATTGTTCGGGACGGTATATAGCCCGCTCAGTCCAATTCAAATTCACGGAAACAATACCAACCATATGGATTTAAAAATAACAAAAATACAGTTTATGGCAGATCTCTTAGTAAAGCTTCACTAAAAGAAGATTCTCATGAAACCATTATATGTTTCAGAGCACGGCAAATAGATTTTATCTGAAACATGTGGTCGAATTTAAAAAAAATCAAAAAGTCTAAAAATTTACGTAGCGACAACTAATTTATAGAAACTAGTTTTCGAGTTATTTAGCGAATACGATCAGAACGCCATACTTATTTGGTTCTCGATCTATTTTAATGTCATTAACCTTGAAAACTTTATTAACTTTAAAACAAAAAGGATGTTTGTGTAGAAATATTAATTTTACTGGCATATTTAAAACCCCAAAATAGCAGTCTCCGATCACGCCACAGCCACGCCTGTAGTCATTACTGGAGTGAGCAGGACTAACACACACATTATGTTACTTGACGTTCTAATTACCATCAAAATCATATCAGGAGTCAATCAGAATAAGGTAATCGTGCAGCAGATTATATAGAGAAGAACAGACAAAAAATTACAGTACAGTCTTTTCCGTCATGCTTTTATTTACAAGTTGAAAGAAAAGGAACGTTGAAAGCAGTTGAACACAGGTCTCTCCAAAAGAAAAAACTTTCAGAATCCAATCAGTAGTCAGAGAAAGTATAGATATTAAAAGTTACTAACTGTACTTCTTTATAATACTTATTGTGGCTAACTAAATCACTATCATAAAAAAATGACAAGATATTTGGGACGTCAGGTGATCAAAGAAATCTGTTCAATGTACGAGACTGCTTAATTTCACTCATATTTCTTACGAATTTAAATGCAATGCTCTGAAATTTGCAATACACATACCTCAGTTATCTCCTTACACTATATTTCTCTTCAAAGATTTTACGCAATAAAATCAATCAAGCACTAACATTAATGTCATCATGTTGCTCGGATACGAGCGAAATGCGACGAATGTAAGAGCCATACTGCTTAGCATGGTCATTTATTAGAAGGTGGGTTATTTGAGGATTGTAAATTATAGTATTCCTGTTTCGGAAAGTGATTATAACGAAACGAAGTGATTATACGTATACCTACAAGGAATGTTAATACCTTTGAATATCTAAATACTATAGTAAAAGTTGTTGGAAAACATTTTTACTGGTAATATTTAAGTTGGTTAAACCAATTTGTGAACTATAATTGGTAACTATAAATGCTAGTATACTAAATTTGTACAGAGATTTGATTTTACGAAAAAGTAGATATAATACAGTTGCTAAGCTTTTATCTATGATCTATATATTTTTTTAAAGACTACCAGTAAACTCCGATCTCTGGTAGAACTTGTTTGCCTGCCGAACTTGTTGTTGATAAATTAATCGAAAGATCTTGAAATGAGGATTTAATGCATCGTCTCTACACTTTGTCTTCTTAATAAGTATAAATTTCTAACGTTTTTAAGAGCTGAAGCAATATCACTTACTTGTTCAGATTACATTTTTCGAATTAATTTTTAGCACAAAGTAAGTTTTTCAAAGTTTAATCTTTTTTTTTTTCAAATAAAAATCCACTAATACTTCTAACTTTATATGAAGAGTGCAAAAGGCATTTGCCAGTTTTATCAGAAATACCCAGTTTATTAAAACATAAAAGTGTCAAAGTCCAACACCATAACCACCAAACACCTGTCAAAAATAACATTTAACGTTTAGTTTTGATACAGTAATTTGTATTTTTTTAATTTTTATATTTTTCTGACGTATTTACTTTTACCATTTAAATTTGAACATGGCTAGATACGACAGAGCAATCACAGTATTTTCACCGGATGGACAACTTCTGCAAGTCCAATATGCTCAAGAGGCAGTACGCAGAGGTTCTCCTCTAGTGGGCGTCAGAGGGGCAGAGGCTATTGTCCTGGCAGTGGAGAAGAGGGCAGTACAGACCCTCGAAGATACAAGAATAGAAAAGAAAATTGTAGTCTTGGATGAACATATTGTAATGGGGTTTGCCGGCTTGAGAGCAGATGCGAGAATACTAATTGCAAGGTGAAGATTTAATAAAATATAAAAAAAAACATCCAAAATGTGAAATAGGATGGTAATCAAGTTTTTATATTATGCAAATGCATTTCAAACTTCATTTCTTGTGGTATTGTCAGGGGTCCGAAATATTTAAAATCAATAGCTTGCAATGATATCACTCGGGATGAAATGGTTCCAGTTTCACACTCCACTCCGTATGCTACTCCATAAATATACTGGTTATATTTGACTTTTGATGTTAATTAGCTACCCCTACGGTGCTATCCTCGGTTTATCAGATACTTGCTCATCCCACGAGAACTACAGTTTCTCGGAATAATATCATCGTATCCTCTTTTTGTGTTTATCCAGGGTGTTAGCTAACTCCATAACAATATCTTTTTAAATTGGTGTAGCCGATTGAGCATGAAAAGTAATAAACATATGTTTGATATCAAGACACACATTCACAAACTTTCGCCTTCATAATGTTAGTGTGATAAATAAACGGATAAAATATCAGATATAGGGTACAGACTCTACTTCACTAAACGTTAACAGCAACGTATATACTAGTATTTATTTGAATACGTTAAGGTCTTAAATCCAGTAATTTGTTTTGCAGAGCCCAAATAGAATGCCAATCCTATCGTCTCACAGTCGAGGACCCCGTCTCCGTGGAGTACATTTCCCGCTATATGGCTGAAATGAAACAGCACTATACTCAAAGTAATGGCAGGAGACCCTTTGGTATTTCCTGTTTAGTGGCGGGTTTCAACTTTGATGGTACACCTCACCTGTTTCAAACAGACCCATCTGGAACCTACTATGAATGGAAAGTAAGTTTTACCAGTACCTGATTTTAGAACTGCAATCTGTACTCGCAGAATTCTGTATTAAGGAATACTTTGGCTGGAATTTTGGTCCTATGTAGAAGATATCAAATTCCGTTAACTTTTATGGCATAAATGAGGTCGAATATTAAGGCTAGGTTGTTGACCGTTGCAGATGATATCGTGTAATCTTACTTTCAGTTTCCCAAAGACTGCCTAATTCCTTTCGGCATAATGTAACAAGTATTCTGGAAATTGATAATGATAACTTAGAATTCAATATAGAACTGTCAGAATGATAACTCGCCTAAATAGTTTGTGGAAACTTAAATAGAATGTAATATAATCTTTCAATTACTGTAATGCAGTTTTAAGCACTAATTTTAATGCAGTTTTAAATCTCTAGACACTACTAGAACAAGGGCATTAATGTTAAGTAGGTGGATGGTATGAAAGGCACCCAGTGCCACTTCAATAAAAGGGCATCAACCATGTATCAACTACCGTTTCTCCCATTATCAAATTCTTAAAATAGGTATTAATTTTTAGGCAGCGGCTACTGGCAGATCTGAAAAGACAGTCAGAGAATATCTAGAAAAGAATTATAGCCCTGAAGCAGTCAACACGGATGAGAAAACGATTAAATTGGCTATTAAAGCTTTGTTGGAAGCTGTGCATGCTGGAAAAATAAACTTAGACGTGAGTACTGATGAGTGTGATATTTTACCACCGATTGACACTTGATTTTTGAACTTTCAACGATATTTTTTAATATTCAACTCTCCAAACCCAGATGGTACCCAAAATAATTCTTCTACATCTTACTTAAACATAATTAGAATTGAAGTCTTGGACCTCGTTGTTGCGGTAATAGAATACATTAGTAGTGGAGATCACGACAGACTTGCTCCAGGTATTGCTGAAAAATCCCAATCCATCTATTTCCACCCTTCCCTTCTTATCCATCAATCGAACATTTAGTCATCTAATCCCCAAAGTAGTTGACCGAAGAAGTTCTCCGGTAGAAGGCTTGCCCCATATGGCGTGAATGGGAGTTAAATTTAGTAGCAAAATGTCGGTATTCAATATGCTTCTGCCTATTACTACTCATTCTAGTACTATGTATGTATGTTTGTACGTACCATTCAATTTGAACATCTGCATTACTAAAGCTGATAATATTATTTACCCAGCCTTGGGGGTGAGTATACGAAAGGCGCAATCTGTAGGGTGAAATCTCAAGGATCTTTTCTTGGCACGCTTTTAACAACCACAGTCATCCTCTAACATCAAAACAAATCGATCCCAGGATTTCATTTACGATATTGGTTCGTTACAGGTAGCTGTCATCAAAGGGGGTCAGCCAGTAAGAATGCTAAAAAATAACACTATCATATCGTTTATAGCAGAAATAGAGAAGGAGAAGGCAGAGAAAGAAGCATTAGAGAAGAAAAAAGATTATATGAACAAAATGAATAACTGGGGAATTAGCTGACGTGGGATACTAATATCAGAAGAAATTATTTTTGTTGTTTTATTAATTATTTTTTATAATGTTATTTTATAATATTAATTTTGACCTTATTATGGCAAAGATCAACAGACGGCTTTGTTTTTACCAACTTTAATTATTATAATTTAATTTTAGCTCATACTTAAAATACTGCATAAGAGATCGTGCAGCACGCCAGCGATGTCGCGCGACTTTGGTCGCGCCGACTCACGGCGACTTCTAGATGCGAAAAAAAGTGCAGCGCGCTAGCGACTACTTGCGACCGATTGATCGGTTACCTATTTGGGGTATTTGGTTTTGTGAAGATTTCAATTTCCATTTCTGGAGGAGGAGGAATGAATTTGACTTAATAGTCTAATACCCTTAAGTTCGATAATCAAACGAAATAGCTGAATAGTTTATTTCAAACTATTCAGCTATTTCACAGGTCCGCTACGCGCTGTTGTGAAGGACGCACGTTTCGCCGATCTCTCACCGTTCGTGCTCGTTACGTCACTTCGCCCGGTACAGGCGTCATCCGCTCCGTGTTCCGAGCGGGGTGATAACAACAACCCGGCGTATTGAACGCCGAACGACCACGGTTGGCGCGCTAGCTATTTATTTGTTTACACCGCGCACACATCAGTCCCTTCGGATACCGCAGGGTACACTGCCGTCCTCGGCCCCCGGTCTGCCACCAGCGGCAAGCCCCGGTGGGCCGGCTCAGTGGGTACCTTGTGCCGAAGAGTGCTGGTCGTGGAGCGCAACGCGAAGCCGCCAAACAGCAATGTAGTGTTTATAAAACAATAAACGAAGACAAAATCTGGCATGCCACCTCCATGCCACAGCCACTACCCGCCCGCTCGTCGGGCACCTCGCCCACCGCAATCTAACTCCGGGATTGCGAAGCGAGTCTACGTCCGCTCCCGAGGCGCAGCGCTATCCGCGCTGAACCGTGTGGTGGCCGCAGACCAGGCCTCCCTGACTCGCCTCCCCACGCAGCCCTCACGGTCACCGCTCCCTGAGCCAAGTGCTCGGTCGAGTACACCGCCGAGTGCTGCTTTAACTCCGACACCGGGAGCAGGGGAGGAATTTTTTTACCCTCTCCTCGTTCTCACGACCGTCTTCACCTCCAACACCCGGTCCGTCGACCGGTAACCTATCCAGGCCTGCGTTAGCTCAGCCGAATGCCGCACCCGCTACTGCACCTGCCTCTGCTGCTACACCACCTGCCTCTGCTGCTACACCACCTGCCTCTGCCCTCACAGAGATGACACGCCCAATGCCGCAAAGGCCGAAGAAAACGGCAGCCCCACCGCCACGCTTCCCTGGTCCACACGCCACTATTGTGCCGGACCGGTTCCCATCGCCACCACAAGAGGAGAAACGACGAGCGCTTTTTACTACACCGCCGTTTGGACTACCAGCGACCAGTAAAGAGTCGCCTATGGAAGTTGTGGGGCCCTCCTACGCCACTGTCGCTGGTGCACTCGCCACCGCGCGCGGCGGCCCCCCAACTATCCCTGCTGCTCCCCCTGATGCACCTGCTGCTGGCCTTGACGCTGCCCCCGGCGTTGCACCTGCCGCTGCACCCGCTGCTGGCAAGAAACAGTCAACCACCCGCTACCCGCCCTTAGTAGTCGAGACATTCCCGGATTGGCCGACACACTTCCGGGAGCTGAAAAAACTACTTGGGCACGCACCTAACGGGCGCCCATTCGGGAAGGGAGTGCGATTCATTCCGAAGTCGGACCAGGAGTACCGCACCATCCAGCGGTACCTGTACTCGCTGGAGACAAAGGAGAAGATCTCCTGGTTCTCTTACTCCCTCCCCGCGGAACGCAGCCTTAAGGTGGCCATCCGTGGTCTCCCAGTGAATACTCCATCAGAAGAGATCCAAGCAGAGCTCACCGAACTTGGGTTCACACCCGAGTTCGTGCGCCCCATCCATGCCCGACAGGGCCGTCCCGGATGCCTATATTTCGCGCAGCTAGCGCGCACCGCAGACCTTACGCCGGCCATTTATGAAGTAAAGGAACTTCTATGCATGCCCGGCGTGCGCATAGAAGCATGGCGCGGAAAGAAGGGGCCCGCGCAATGCCATAGGTGCCAGCAATTTCGGCACTCATCACACAATTGCCACAGGCCACTCTCCTGTGTACGCTGCGGCGAAGCTCACACCGCCCGCGACTGCCCACGCCCTCTGGAAGAGCCGCCTACATGTGCGAACTGCGGAGGAGCGCACACCGCAAACAGTGCCGCCTGTCCTGTTTTCAAACGGGAAATCCGGAACCGGAAGGCTGGCACAATTGCACGAACATCAGCAGCCACACCGCACATAGAAAAGCCCACCACCGTCGAGGACGGCAACGCTCCCGCCTCGCTCATGGCAGCAGCCAATCCGCCGCAGGAGAGCGCGCGTCGCAAGAGACGACGAAAGAAGAAAGCGAAGATGCTTGCCGAACAGGCAAATGCGCCTCGCAATGATGTCCAGAAGGTCACCGTGGTCGCTGCCCCACTAGAGGGGACGAAGGCGAAGCGGACTGTCCAACCGCAGCTGGTCCCCAAACCGGCAACGGTAAACCTGGACCCCAGACTTACCAGCGTCATCGGTACCTTACAAAAGGTACTGGTAGAGCTACTGGAAAAGCGGGACCCTGTCCCACTGATCCTTGACTGCCTAGCACAGTTGTGTAAGTCTGGATTTGCGTAGGCTACACATACTGTTCTGGAACGCCGACGGGATGTCACCAGAGAAGACCAGGCTACTGAAATTGCTGCTGGCAAAGCAGCAAGTGGATATAGCCCTGCTCAGCGAGACCCACCTCAGACCAGTAGACAACTTCAAAATGGGTGGATACTATGTCTACCGGGAGGACCAACGCTCGCCAAGAGGGACTGCCTACAGGGGTTTAGCAGTCCTGGTCAAGAGGAAAGTCGTCCACCAAGCACTACCAGTACCGACATTGCAGTCTGCGTACGCCCTGGGCGTAGAGGTCTGCATCGGAAGCCAACCTACCCGTGTTTTCGCATTCTACAGGCCGCCGGGGCAGCGCCTCGCAGTGGCTGACATACACACCCTGCTAGACTCGGCGCTACCTACAATAATCGCCGGCGACTTTAATGCGAAACACACGGCGTGGAACTCAAACATCATATGCCCAGAAGGCCGCCGCCTTCTAGATGATGCAGACCGCAACGAGTACCAGGTGCTAGGACCAGAGGTCCCGACACACTACCCGTACTGCGTAGCCCATACACCGGACGTCATAGATATAGCCGTCATCCGCGGCATCGACGCGGCTGTGTATCTTGACGTCCAGGACGATCACCTCATCTCAGACCACCAGCCGGTGTGTCTGACTCTAGATGACATCCCCCAAACTTTCCGACTATCTCCTCGTTCACGCCAAGACTGGCGGGTCTTCGCCGATTATATGGCAGAGCACTCGCCCTCCTTCCCAGTGGAGACACCCAACGACGTCGAAAAGCTAACGACGGATCTCAGCGCGGTCCTACAGACCGCGCTTCGAGAGTCGAAGCTCGATGCCACTACCGGAAGGAAGTCTTTCCAGCTCCCCGCCTACATCCTGGTGATGATCGAGAGGAAGAGGAGACTGCGCCGACAATGGCAGCGCGTCCGATGTCTGACCATGAAGTCCCAGCTCAATGCTCTGGCTGCGAAGGTCTCTGCCGCGCTGGCAACAAATGCGGCAGAGTCCTGGCAACGCACTATTGAGCGAGCTAGTGAAGATTGGTCGGGCATACACCGCCTGTGTCGCCAACTTTCCGGGAAACCAGCTCCGATTAGGCCCCTGATGGCCGGTGACGGCACCCCACGCTACCGTGCCGAGGACCGAGCGGAGATGTTCGCCGACTTCCTGGAAGCGCAGTTCCGACCAAATCCTGCCCACAATGTACAGCACGTGGCAGAGGTCGAGAGGAAGCTCGAGTTGTACTTTGAGCAGCCGATAGCCCCGACTGAGGACCCTGTCATCATCTCCCCTGGTCAAATCCAGCGGCTGATTCACCAAACGCCTCTTCGTAAAGCGCCCGGTCCCGACCGGGTTACCAACGAAGCCCTGCGTCACCTACCTCCGCGAGCAATCGCGACGCTGACGCGTCTCTTCAACGGCATCCTCCGCACCGGACACTTTCCTACCGCATGGCGACTTGGCAGAGTCATCATGCTGCCCAAGCCGGGGAAGAGTATCCTCTTACCGGGAAGCTATCGCCCCATTACTCTCCTCTCAACGACGTCGAAGTTGTTCGAGAAATTGCTACTGCTGCACATGACACCACACCTTCAGCCACGCGACGAACAGTTCGGATTTCGCGCCGAACACTCCACGACGCACCAGCTTGCGAGGGTACTGCATGACATCACGGTTGCACGCAACAAGCGCGAGCGGGTTGTAGCAGTCTTCCTCGACATGGAGAAGGCGTTCGACCGCGTCTGGCACGCCGGCCTGCTGTACAAGCTGTCCACATCTACTACTCCCCGCCGAGTAGTGAAGATTGTGGCCACCTTCCTGCAGGACAGACGCTTTCAAGTGGCAGTTGAAGACGCCCTGTCCACAGAGCGACCGATCTTTGCCGGTGTGCCGCAGGGAAGTTGCATGTCTCCCGTGTGCTACTCTTGGTACACAGACGATATCCCCGTTACCGACGGCGTGAAACTCGCGCTGTACGCCGACGACGCTGCCTACATCGTGACGTCACTAAAAGGTGCCAACGCTACTACCAAGATGCAGCGCACTCTAGACGCACTTCCCAGCTGGCTGAAGGACTGGAGACTGACGGTCAACGTGGCGAAGACTCAGGCGATCTCCATCGGAAGCATGACCCTACCACACCTGAAGCTCATGGGCCAGAATATCGAGTGGTCCGCGACGGTGAAATACCTCGGCGTAACCATCGACCGCACCCTCTCTATGAAGCCCCACGTCAAAAAGTCGTAGCCCAGGTTCGTGCCGCACGCTCCCTTCTGCGGCCCGTACTAT